TGTTTTCGACTCCGTTCGCAGACTCCCGTTCCCGAGCTTCTGCGCATCTCTCCTTGCCGAGCCGCTTGTGGAGGCAGCCAGCCGCCGGGCGGCGGGAAACCCAAATCGCGGCGGGATACCCAAATCGCGGTTTCCAATGGCGCGTAGTCGAGCCTCCACACCGAGCCTTTTCTGTTCCTATTTTAGCGCCAGGACTATATTTTAAGTTGGTTTCTCTCAGCCCAGTTCGTTCCTGAGTCAGCAGAGCATATCTCTACTGGTTCGTGACTCCTTAGTCGGCATCATTCCTGGCCTCTGAGCCGAGTCTTCCAGAGAGCCTTCGGTAGTTGCTGTTGTCTGTCCGCCATGTTCTCAAGAAGTCCACAGAAACCATTGTTCATTTTCTGTTAGTCGATTCTAAATACTCTGTAATGCTGTCATTCTCTTAAATGGTTTTACATTGTTTTGATATACTTAATGCTACAGTATACGAAGTTGTACTCGAGGATTTCAAGGAGAGTCAATATGGTAACTACTTTTAGGTCAGAATTATCTAGTGGTGAAACACTATTCTGCTTAAATGGTTATGTTTTGATCTGCGCTGTTTCGCTGTTATGCCCTCTTTTATCTCAATCTCCACTCCATTACTTACTTTTTTATTTTTATCCTTGTAATTAAAGGAAAAATAAATAAAAATAGCAGGATATATTATAGTAACCCACTTTGACTTTCCATTATCTCAATTTAAAGCCCTGTATTACTCTCACCATCTTATTTTTGACTGATGTTCCCCTATTCTGTTTTGCTGGATAGTATCAGGTTCGAAAGTTTAGGCATCAGCTGTGAAGATAATGAGATTCATTAAAACGCCCATTCTCGTTGACTTTTATCTACTTTTGAAGACCTACAATGTCTCCAATGTTTTGATTTTGTCGGTTTTGTTCTTTAATGTTTTGTTCAATTTTATTATAACTGATGATATAGGCAATTCTATTAGAGATAGCGGGAGGCATTATGGTAACCATTGTTGATCACCTTGTATTATGTTTTTGCATTATCTATTATGTCCACCCTTTTGACTTGACCGATTCTGTTCTGTTATGTCACATTTGGTTTTACTCTCTTCCAAAAAAGTAATAAGAACCGTGGGAGCAATGAAACCCAAAATGTGTAATAGTCATTGTACAAAAGAGAGGAAAAGAAAGTGCTCCAAACTATATAACTGCATGTATATTTAAGTGTATAAGATAAAAAATGATATCACAGAGTTTTATTGGATCATTGAACAGAACTGTTTGCAGTATCATTGTTGGAATGTCCACTTTACAAGCTTTAATTTTGTGACTTGAACAATTATTTCTAAGATGACAATATGAAATCCATTAACTGGTGATTTCCTACTGTTCATTTTTTTTTCTGTAAATCTGTATAACTTGTACCCTTTCTCTGCTTTTTTTTTTCTTTTCTCCTTAAATAAAATTTTAAAAAAATAAGTAATGTAATTGACATTTTTGTCTCAACTCCATCTAGGAGGAGGTTGTATGATGCCTAAAGAGCAATGATTGATTTTCAAATCATTTTAAGTTTTTTTAAGTACACATTCACAGTACATAATGATTGCATTCATCATAAGCAGGTGGTGCATTTATGTAACACATATTAAATCTTTTTCTACGCCTCCCCGTTGATAAAACTATGACAAGAACTTACATCCTTCCTTTCCTTCCAGTAAATAAATCAATAAGACAACTTTGAAGGAAGTCAGATAGTTACCTATAATTGTGCAATGTGTGCAGAATTAAAGATGCTGGATGACCAATGCAACTGCCCTCCAGCAGCACCTGTCCCCTCCTCAGTCCACCAAGATCCCACCTCTGAATCATAGTGGACTTCTCCGTTAATTCTGAGGATTTCAAAACTCTCCACCTACTCTAATTAGGAGCATCTTTTCCATATATTCTAGCCATGCTAATCAGCTAGGGCTTAGAAAGTTTTGTTCATCAAAAGTCCTGCCTGCTCTTGGTCAGAGCCATATCTCTTACACAGGGCAAATGATTTCTAGAATCAACAAGTGGGATGACACTTTTTCTGGGGTCTCCTGTAAGGCACTCTTAAAACAGTCAATTCCAACAAAAGTGAAATTCACCTTAACAGAGTTCAGTTTATACCTTAACAGAGATATGACAGATGTCATCTGTTCCTCCCCACCCACCCACCTACTCCCCAGCATGATTCTCTTGGCTTTCGCAGGTAAACTTGCCAAACACAAATTAAAACCTGAATAACCATCATCTTCACTTCCTAACAGCATACATCAGAGTCCTTGAGGGAGTGGCAAACAGCCACTTTGAAGCAAGATGTAATCTCCTCTTCTTATCCTGCATCTTTCTCTAAAATAAAGGGGGAGGGTGGTTGAAACACTTCCTGGAGTTGGGCATAGTTGCACATGCCAGTAATCTGGGAAGGTTGAGGCGGGAGGACCACAGTTTGAGTCCAGCCTGGGGAATTTAGCAATTTAATGAGAACTTGTTGCAAAACTTTTTTTTTAATTTTTTAAAAAAACTTTAAAAAGGGTCAGGGATCTTGGTCAGTGCAAAAATCCTGAGTTCAATTCCCAGACCAAAGAAGGAAAGAAGAAAGGAAACAAACTCGCTTGCTCACTAGAAGAGATACAATTTATAGATATGAAATAAAGCCTATCCTCTGAGGGCATATAGCGAAGAAGTAAATTGTCTAAAATAAATAGAAAGGGTCATAGTAGTTGAAGAGACAAACTGTCAAGTTTATGGAGGCTAAAAGGTGTCCCTCCTGGTCCACACCTCAGTTCACAGCAATGGTTCCTGAGGTCCTTGGGTCCAAGATAATTTAACTGGGAAATCTAATGAACATTTATGGGTAATGTATCATTCTCCATTCACATCATGGAGCTCAGAGAGGCTCTCATCCTGAGACAGAAAGAGCCTTCTAAGTCTCCACATACAGTAAGATTATTGTTTCCTCCCAACCCTCCTCTCATCTCAGTGTAACACCTACACCCATGTAACATGGAAAGAGGAGGAAAGGGAGGAGAAAGTGGCTGTCAGGAAAGAGTGCTTGCTATCTCTGTTCTAAGGTGTTTCTAAGTGTATCTAGTTCAATGTCTCTATCTTATTCTTTCATCTTCCAAATAGGCCATAATGACAAAACATTCATAAATCTTAAATGCTGCCAGACATAGTGGTTCATGCCTGTAATCCCTGCACGCAGAAGGCTGAGGCAAGATTGCCATGAGTTTGAGGTCAGCCTGATACATGGTGAGTTCAAGGCCTGCTTCAATTACATAGTGAGAACTTGCTTCAAAAAAGCAAAACACAACAAAATTTTCAATGTACATATAGTAAAAGAAATCAGTCTACCATTCCCACATTAGCTTTGTTTTCAGAAGGTGCGGTAATTGACCCTAAGAAAATGAGTGTCAGATTCACAACTAACCAGTTTTCAATACTGAAGTATTTTTCAAACTATACTTTGCAGTTATTTAGCGGATCATGAAATCAATTTTTAAAAGTTATGCTTCATATTTGTATGTAAGTATATGTGTATTGGGTCATGATATAAAATGTATTTTTACTATGAGACACAAATCAAAACGTCTGAAAAATACCCAGTGTTCTTTCTCAACAGGGACTGACACAAAGAAAATCCACATTGATCATTCAAACTATAGAGTTATTCTGTAATTTTTAGCAAACAAGAGAGAAGTTACCTGGTTTCCCTGGCCCCTTTATAATTACAATCATAGCAGAGTCAATTATTAATATGCTCAATCAACTTTTTTCCTCTCATAGAAAGATCTGAAGAAAATCCCAAATTTGTATTCTAGGTTTACTGCCCTTGACCATTTACTATGAAGTGGCTGTCATTTTCCTGGTCTGTGAATAAAGGTTTAGGCCTGTGGAGCCTGAAGAATTCAAGAGTCTATGTACAGTCTATGGAAGTGTGAAAAGCATGTGTCCATGTACAGAATATGCATGACTAAAATGGTATTTCTTATTAATTCTGGTGATAACTGGGCCTGTGCGTAATACATCAGTGTGTTGAGGAGGCCTTATCTGGTAGGACACATGCAACATAAACCGTTACCTCGCAGCGGGTGGGAGACCGTGCCCTCAAGAGACAAGCTGCAGGTTATGATAAGCCGTCTGTCAGCACTGGGTAAAAGCCTGCATTCGGTGGCCAACAGGACAGCTGACAAGGAAGACGACCCAGTGTATGTTCATTTGCTTCCTGTTGTTTCATGCTTAGATGCCCTGGAAAGGTCAGCCACACTGAAACTGCTTTGAATGTGTAACCCAGGATAGGTGGAGTAAATGATTTCATCATCCTTACTGTTCACTATTTTATCATTTAAATTTCTCCCTCCTTTAGATGATGTACATGCTGATGTACCACAGCGATAACTTTGTAAGACTTGTTGGTTGTCATGCTTCAAGGCTGTGTGTGTAAGACTATTCTAACATTTTCTTAAGAAAATTATTTTTCTTGTGTTCACAAACTCTAAAACTAAGAGAAATAGAAAGGTTTAAAGAGGCATTCAGAACTTCCCACAGAACACAGTAAATCAATATCACTTTAGTCTCACCTGTTTACCTCTAAATATTGTCACTACTCTACTTGAAATGACATAAGTAGCAAAAAGAAATACATGAGGGGAGAGAGGCTGGGGAGAAGTGCCACTCAGTACTGTTTTCATAACCTTTGCAATTTTATAATAGAATTTATACATTTATAATAGAATTTATAATATATACATCTATTACACTTAATCCAGATTCCACTGTGCTACAGCACACAGTATTATTCACCTTTATTTTTTTTTTCAAATAAAGAAAGGTAAAAGCAAAGCCAAGACTCAAACTGAGATCCATCTGATGTTTCCATCTATCATACTATTCCTTTATTGACCAAAGACATTTGAGTTTTAAGTAAGTTGCAACCGTAAAGCAAAACAAAATTATCTCAATTATTTTTTTTTTACCTTACCTTATCTGTAATTGTAATTTTCTGCAACACTGAGTAGGTCTCATAAATATCTCCTTTGATCACAGGTCTCTGCTACTGTTACAACAGTACATCGCCATCCACTGGTGATAATAGTCTAGAACACACACTCCATTTGTGTCCATCCTCTCAGTACAAAACCAGTTTCTATATTTAAACCTAATAGTTAATTAAATGACATGTTCAAATACAGAATCAAAATCAGGAAGCATCTTCAAGTTTACTCCATCTGTAACATACAAAGAAACCAAATAACCCAAGAAGAATGCTCTGAAGTTTCCTCCTCACAAGAATATCTTTAAAGAAAAAAAAATTGTGTAGTTTTGAAAAGAAATAACTTTCCCAAACACCCAATCTTTCCTAATCTCTTATAACTAAGAAAGGGATAGAAATGATTTTAATCCATTGAAAACAATCACTTTGATGAATATAGGATTCTATTTTTTTTAATAGGATTCTATTTTTAAGAAACTATTGAACAACTCTAATTGTGCAAAGTTGTGTCTACCATAACTACCACAAAAACAGGGATATTGTGAGAATTTCAGAGCCCCTTGGTCTAGAGCTCTCTCTTAAGGATACTAACAAACCTTTGAAATCTGGTCTTTTTCTCCCTCTCTTGCTTTCTTACTCATAACAGTAGCTTATAAATCTGGCTCACAGCTAAAAGTTTCTAATCTGAACCACTCATATCCACACAGTGTTATAGAAGGAACAATTCTGAACCACACTTTGCTCTGATTTAATAATACGTAACATTGCCAAAGGATTTTAAAATTATTTTTAGTTACTACATGGTGCATATTTTTTTATGGAGTTTTTGTAATGTTTTTCTTTCGCTTTGATTTTTGCTTTTTTTGTTATTGTTGCATTTTATTGTAATTATCCCCTGCAGAGTAGGGTTCAGTCATAGAAACAAACTTTCATGAATAGCACAATGAGATTGTATACAGCACACATGCATGTACATGTACACGTATGCACACAAACACACACATTACATAATTCTAATTCAAATTTAAAATAATCAGGATCTCTAAGAAAAACTATCAAAGAAATACCCAGGAGTGAAACATTGAAATTCATGTAAGCTTTATCTTTTCATTCAAATATTATTTTTACCATATGAGTGATTATAAATTTCAAAGGGCCATTTAGTCTTCAGTATATGTAAGCACTACTATTATTTGAAAGTAGTTTTTGTTTTACATTCGAAACATGACTTCTATTCTAATAATTTTAAATGAATTAAGAATATACTACTTAAGTTATCCTGTGCTAAACATTTTTGTAAAGTGAATATTTGTGCCGGTCCAAAAGCTAGAATGGTAAATGTTGAATTTCCTGTTGGTAGTATTCATTTCTGATGAAGGTCATTGTGAAGTTTCTGCTTCATACTACACGACCAAATCATACACTGTGAACCGTGTTGACTGTGTGCCCAACCACATTTAATGTTAAATTGGCAGAAAACACCACATGACTGTCTTGATCTAAAGTCTCTTTATTGTTCATTCCGAGTGACCAAATAATGCATTACAAATGCAAAAAGGATTTCAACAACTGCAATGTCCTGTTCTTACAGACAGTATTGCTCATAAGAAAATAAAAAAGGACAACCCAAATTGACACGAAATGGCAGAACCTCCCAGGCTGAAATACTGGCCATTCTTTCTGACCTCAGTCTATCACCCACCCAATAGCGTGATTTTACCATAAATGCACTAAGGCCAAGATTTTCACAGGTTTAAAATTGCTTGGTGTTTTTAGAGTAGCACATGTCATTCTGATGTGCATTCAAATATTTCTGATTTAGAAAGCTCAATTTCCAATTATTTTAACCAAACTTACTTACGGTAAGAGCCATCTATCCACCCTTTGTTGGCTTAAAATCTCAAAAAGTACAACCACTCATTTTCTTTCGTTAATCCTTCCAGAGAGCAGAATGCAAGATAGTAAAAGCAAAAGAGAATTAATTATCAATCTCTCTCTTGGGGAAGGGCCTCAATGCCTAGAGAATCTGGTTTTTATGCATTAAATTCTTCTTTCTCTGTGACTTAGGGGAAAGTGGGAAAAAAAAGCTATAAATCAGAATAAGGGGCAACATTTCTTGAACAGAATGAAAAACTAACAATTCCTCAAGGCTTCTCACCTGATAGGTCAAGGTCAAATAATACAAGGTCACTTTACACTGAAAAAGGGAGAGAACTAGTGCTAGAGCGGGGGAAAATAGCAAAAGAGGTAGACCAACTCCAAAACAAAGCACGCCTGCTTTCCTAAGTGTGCGTAAATCTGTGGCGGAAGCAACGCTCACTGACCCACAATTAAACAGCAACCCAGAGGCCCCTCTGCACAGGGACGCCGCCCTCGACTTGTACCTGCGCTTGCCTGGCACTACAGCTGTTTGTCTCCCACCAAACTGACCTGTGCTAAAATATTTCACCAAGTAGACCCCCATTTAATCAAATAAGAAAATGCAGGCATTCGGTGCCTAAATTACCGACACCCAAGAAATGACAAACACCTTTTCTCTCTGCTCTACTGAAATTGCGTATCCCACAATAATTTCTAAGAGCCCTTCAACCTCTTCACTGAATACACCAATAATCATAAATTTAACAAACAGTTCTAATCAAATCGGTTAGGCTCCCACCGTTATTTAAGTAAGAAATCCAGTAGTTTTTTTTCCCTCTGCATGTGAGAGATAAAGGAAATACCAATAATTCCGTCTTACTCAACCTTTGTTAAGCTTTTCAAAATTCAAGTATTTTCACTCTTCAAAGAAAAGAAACACGAGTTAAAATTTTATTTACAGAGCAACACATTATTATGTAAGATGAGCAACCAAATTTAAAGGTTACAAGTTACTTTTGCAACAAGGTGCAAAATTCAGACAAGATTTTTGTTAGCAATAAAATTTCCAAGGATGGCTTTGTGACAAAAATAAAATCATGCCTGTGCTTCTGTAAAGAAAGAGGGACCATTTTATCCTTTTTATTTTGCTGTGATTTTTGTCAGTAGTTAGAAGTCTCTACCTATTAGTAATACCAAAATTTCATCAACTAACACCTAGAAAAATATAAAGATCAGATTAAAAAGCTCAAAATTTACAAAATGGGAGAAAGAAATGGCCAAATAAGATTATTAACAAATGAAATCTGCAGCATGTGATATTTTCTGTATTCACTGGACAACTCAGTAACATTACAGTTTGAAAAAGTAGTAACAATTGCTCCTATAAAGGATGCTTTGCAGCAGGCATGGTGGCACATATCTGTAATCTCAACACGCAGGAGGCTGAAAGAGGAAAATCCCTCCTGCAAGTTCTAGGGCAGCCTGGGCCACATAGTTCAAGGCTACGTGGTAAGACCATGTCTCAAAATAACCAAAAAAAGAAAGAAGGAGGCTTCCCCTCATGGGGGGATTAATGATAATTGTCATTGGTATTTTGTTTCAGAAGTTTAACGACACAATACAAAGTTAACACGTTAATTCTAGACATTTTTCATGTAAATAGTTGGAAAAATACCTAATGCCCTCATCTGAAATATAAACGAATTTTCGATACCTGCAAGGAACTCTGTATAAAAAAGAATTTGAGAATTAGTATGCAATTCTGAAGATCAAGCCCTTTGTAGAAGCATAAAATATTCAACTAACTATCCTATACAATTTCTAATTGTGACACCAAAACACTAAGCAGAACATTAACATCTATTATTCTTTATGAATTAGTGTATTTCAAGGCTATACACACTGTCAGTTCTATGCCAGCACTTCAGGGCACAAGTTAAGATTTCAGTTTCATGTCTCAATCCATGATAAAAGATAGTGTTTAATTCTAATTCAACTATCTTTCATTTGTTAACCAATGGAGCATCAGTTCAACCAACGAAATAGTATGCTTTTTTAATTTAAAGGTTAGGCTATTTTTTAATATTTTAAGGCAAGTTGTTACATATTCAAATCAGTACAGTGCTCCAAATTTCCAATGCTGTGCTATACGGAATTATAATGGACTTTCTGGCTCATTACCCTTTCTGGCTCCTTCACCCAAAAACACAAGGTTCTCCATCTCACTTCCAAGGAACGAGGCCTCTCTGCATGATGGTGCAGAAGCACCCTGAAGCGGATTATTGATACACCAACGAAGACTTTGATGAAAAGAGGTGACACAAATGGTGTTTAAGAGCCTAGGTTATGAAGTCAGAAAGAAAGTCAGGTAGGACAAATCTTAACACTAGTATCAGCAACTAATTAATTCTGACTCTGAGTACTTTTTACCTTACAACTTTAAGCCTCACTTTCCTCAGCTTTAAAATGGAAATAATGATAATACCTATCTCATAAGATGCTGTGAGAATTATGAGTTAATTCAAGTGTGCCAGGCTAACACTGAATCCAGTGTCCGGCCCCTGGGGATGACCAACAGATATTTAATTTTTATTACATTAAACTCTGACTAATCATCTGGGCACTTTTAAGTTCAATACAAGGTTTCAACTTGTGTGTACCTTCAATCAGTTGGTAGTGGCTGCCTGGAACACTATATTACAAATAACCAGTGGAGGATGGGGGCGTAGTTATGGGGCAAAACACTTGACTAGCAGGTTCAAGACCCTGGGTTTCATTTTCAGCATCTCTCAAAAAAGAGAGACAGAGACAGAGAGCAAGAGAAAGGAAATACAGTATGAGGGAAAGCATTGTTTAAAACCAAGGAAATATTGTATTTGCTTAATTAAAGAGGAGGAATATATTAAATATTATATTTAATATTAATATATTAAGACAAATTTGTACACTTAGCTGTGACTGATAGAGATACATTATCAATCTTCAGTTAGTACTGTCTACCATGGGAACAGAATGATGTCACAGCAATGTTTTCCAACCCAACTATAAAAATATATTTGCAATAACTTGTGTAACATTTCCTGTTAATGAGATTACTTTTTCTCTTCACTTAGATTAGCCTTTATGTGAACAGGAAAATCCATCCATAGGTGTAAAGGGACACCTGTGACCTAGTCTACAGAAAATTTTTTATTAGGTTTGCTTCAGAATACTCCAGTTCAAACTGGCAATGCAACTCTGCCAACAAGATTTCACCGATAGGTCATCATGTTAAATAGCTGTATTTTTAGAAATATGCCATGTATGTAGTATCAAAATATTAGGTCAAATATTACATTTGCATACTGAAAAATATGTGCATTCCTTTTTGAAATGTGTAAAAAAATGTCAGAGTCATTTTTATTAAGGTAATTTTTTGGAGTTTTTTTTTTTTTTTTTGGAAGAAATGTGGTTTTTCATTTTGTTTTGTTTTTTAATACTGGAAATGGAACTCAGGACCTTGCACTTCCCAGGTAGGCAGTGTACCTTCTGAGCTATATCCCTATCTATGGTTTTTCAAAAAAAGAAATGAAAACCAAGCATGATTATAGGCTCATGCCTATAATCCCAGAATTTAGAAGGCTGAGGTAGGAGGGTCACTGTGAGTTCAAGGCCAGTATAGGCTATATAACAAGTTTAAGTCCAGCCTAGACTACATAGCAAAACTCTGCATTGAAAAAGAGAGAGACAGAGACAGAGAGAAGAAAAGAACAACAAAGCAAAGCAAAGTTAAATTATGGGCTGGGAATTTATCTCAGTGGCAGAGCGCCTGCCTGGCAAGTACAAGGTCCTAAGTTTGATCCCCAGTACCAAAAAAAAAAGAGAGAGAGAGAGAGAGATCAGTCCCAAACTCCACATCCTGCATGCTACCAGGCTACTGCCAATTTCCCAATTTTTTAAAAAATAGATAAGGATTTAGAAAAGCAAGCAATACAAAAAAGAATATAATTTTTTAAATAATTTTAAAAACAGCTCATCTGCTAAATTCACATTACATAAATTTACCAGGTTTCTAAAAGATGTTTTTTAAACAGTTCAAATTTAGTCCTAGTCAATTACTTATCATTTGTTACAAAGAATATATCAAAATACAGATTTTTGTTATTACTAAGATAGCATAATTATATCATCCTATAGGATTAGATTAAGTTATGCCTCCCAAAATACCAACATAAACAACATGTTTAATTTATCAATTTAAATTATTGCTAACAATGTAAATTGATAAATTAAATTTAATCCATACATCTACTCAAGAAAGTAATTTTACTGCAACACAATGTCGCCACTCATAGTCTGGTTAATCAAGTAGATTTTATTTTTAATTCTCTTTGGATTGTAACACATTTTTCTTGGCAGATGAGTTCAATATTTCATTGTTACCTAAATATACATTTTCTTCATGAACAGGCCCATAAAATACTCACTATAAACCAAGTGATTTAATCCAATTTGTATACTTTTCATTACATTATTTTTTGAAGAAAAAATCCTTGTAGATTTGTATTAGAATGGGGTATGTGTAAGAATCATAGACCCTTCAAGATAAAATAAAGCTTAAAACAAGGTTTTAACTATTAGACTATGCTTTAAAAGTCTTCCTTAATTCTTTTGGGAATATTCCCAGGACTGGTATAGTTGTATCAAATATTATTTCTATATTTAGTCTTTTGAGGCATCTCCATACTGATTTCCATAGTGGTATAACAGTTTATACTCCCACCAGTAATGTAGGAGAGCTCCATTTTTCTGAATTCTTGCCAGTATTCATTGTTTTTTATATTCCTAATGATGGCCATTCTGACTGGGGTGATATGTAATTTTAATTTGCATTTCTCTGATGGATAGATATGTTGAATTTTTTCTTTTCCTGTTGGCCACTTGAACTTCTTTTTAAAAAATACCTATTCAGCTTGTTTGCTCACTTTTTTATTGGATTCATTGTTTTATGGAGTTAACGTTTTAAAGTTCTTCATATATTCTATACATTAACTCTCCATCAAAAGAGTAGTTATTGCTGGGGATTTAGCTGAGTGGCATAAGTGTCTGCATGGCAAGCGTGAGGTTGTAAATTCAATCCCTGGTACAAAAAAAAAAAAAAGAGTAGCTAACAAAGATGTTCTCCCATTCAGTGGACTGTTGTCTCTTCACTCTTATTTCCCTTGATGTGCTGAAGTTTTTTAATTTGATATCTTTTTATAGATTCTTGATACAGTTTCCTGTGTTTTTGAAGTCCTATTCAGGAAGTCTGCCTGTGCCTATGGTTTTGAATGTTTCCCCCATATTGTCTTACAGCAGTTTCAGTGCTTCTGGTTATGGAACTAGGTCATGGATCCTCTTTAATTTGAAATTAGTACAGAATGAGAGGTAGAGATCTAGTTTCAATTTCTTGCATGTGGCTCTCCATTTAATAAAGAGACTGCAGTATTGGCCTGTAATGCCAGCACTCTGGAAGACTGAGATAGAAAGTACGTTCCAGCCCAGCCTGGACCATTTAGCTATTTAATGAGAATTTGCTTCAAAATAAAAATAAAAATAAAGGGTTGGGGATGTAGGTCAGTGTGAAGGTCCTGAATTTAAATCCCTACTAATAAATATTTTTTAGAGTTTTCCCATATCCAAAAATCTGCTTGTAGAAAAATAACGATTAAAGTTTTCATTGTTAATAAATACATTGAGATATAAATGTCCAAGTTTCAATGGGCTTTATAAATACTAGATGTAATATATATGTGTGTGTGTGTGTAAAATAGTTAAGATAGCATTGTAGTTTGTGTCTAGGTGACCCCCCCCCCAAGCCTCATGCAGTCATGAAGGCATCTGAATCTAGCATTTGTGATTGGTTCATTGTCTAGCACTGGGATTGGTGATGTGAGTGCTGCACCCACTCAAGAGCAGAGCCAGCATACAATGTAAGGGATGGAAGAAGGTGTGTTTTTCCCTTTTGCCTTATCACTCTTATTGATTGAACAAGCCACTGTGAACAGCTGCCCCTCAGCCATGCCACCCTGCCTTGGAGCCAGCTAAATATGGACTGAAACCTCCAAGACTGTGAGATAAACAAATCTTTCCTTGCTTCACTTTGGGCATCAGGTATTTTGTCTCAATAAGGAGAGAAAATTAACCAAGACAGATAATTGTACTACTGATTTCTCTGAGTTCACTGAAGAGAAAGATTTGTGCTGGTATTTTTCAGACAATTGAATGCAGATGTCTTGAGCTCTGGATGAATGATTTGGAAATACAATGTGCAATGTATGTACCATTGTTTCCCCTTGATTGATGTGCTTTGAAATTTTTAGGTTTCTTCTTCTTTTTTTTCTTCTTCTTCTTCTTCTTCTTCTTCTTCTTCTTCTTCTTCTTCTTCTTCTTCTTCTTCTTCTTTTTCTTCTTCTTCTTCCTCTTTTCTTCTCCTCCTCCTCCTCCTTCTCCTCTTTCTCTTCCTCCTTCTCCTTCTCCTTCTCCTTCTTCTTCTTCTCTTCCTCTTCTTCTTCCTTTTTCTTTTTGTCCTTGAAATAAAATGGATTGGGAAAAAGAGCAGTAGACATAACCTATGAGCCATTGTGAGCACAGTGTGCTGATACAGGAGTGATTTGTGGAACCAAATGTTTAGTTTCAACATAGAGCTGCCAGTTAGTAGGTATGTGACCTGTATTTCTTAACAGTATACAGGCAAAAGTGAGAGTAACTGCAAGTTCTAATATTAAAACAATGATTTAACAGACAGTCACTACTCATGATGTGTAATCATTGCATCAGTGTTACTGTAATAGTCCCAGAGGGCTACAATTGAATTTTATCTATTCTGTGTGCACCTACATATCATTTTCTGTAATAACCTTGAGTGATGGTCATCCATCTCCCTCTTTAGCACAGCCAACCAACAGAGATTATGTCAGTTATCTGGTGACCCAGTAACACTACATAAAACACTGCACCTCAAAGCACACTGAGATATAAAACACTGCACCTCAAAGCACACTGCACCTCAAAGCACACTGACTTAAAACAACTGGCATTTATTTAGCTCAGAATAAATAAATGGGTCAGTGGCAGGCTTGCCAAGGCAGCTCTGTCCTCAGTTGTTCAATGTCTGGAGATCAGTGGGCCCTCTGACGCACAAGGATTACTCACTCTGATTATGTGCATCTCATCCTTCCACAGTCTGGTTCAAGAGTGTTCTCAGGGTGCTGGCAACGGTGCAAAAGAAAACAAACTCCAGTGTGGAAGCCTACTCCAGTCCTCTCCTCTTTCACATCTCCTAACACCCCATTGGACAAATAGTTACATGACTTAGTGTAACATTAAGGGGTCATGTCAATAGGAGGCCCTGAAAAGTCACGTGGCAAAGGACATGGATGTAGGAAGTAGTGAAGGGTTAGGTTATCATCGCCTTAAAGATACAGGAAATTGACCTGATCCAAAGGTAGCCTTCTGTGATTATCAAACAGATATACTGGGTATGCTTGGGTCTGGCCCAAATTGTCATTATCTACAACTTCTCTGATTTCTTCTGGATAATTGCCCAGAGATATAACTTCTGTAAGCCTAGTCATTTTTCCACATGACATTAAGTATCACTAAAGTATTTGATTAGGTTCATTATATATCACAGCTTTTGAAAGCTAAACAAAGGAAAACGTTGTCACTCTATTGTAATTCATGTAACTTTAAAAATGATTCTGCTTATGCTGTTAATAGTTCTCTTAAATCATGGTACTTTATGTATGTCAGATACAAACTGATGTCACCTCCACTGGATACTATACATCTATTACTGTGTTTTTAAAATAGCATAGGCTTTTTTTTTTTTTTTTTTTGCTGCTATATCATACTGTGAATGCATCTGAGCTTGTAGACAATATCCCAAACAAATTTGCATGAATTACTGTTAAGGTAATGTCCTTTTATCATAAACTTTCCATAGAATGACTCAATAGCAAACTTTCTTGACAATAATCAATATGGTATCATTATGGTTTCTTGTTGCCAATTTCAGTTGGCATGTTTTTTTTAAAACATGTAAAGTTTTAAAAACTCACTGATCAGTCTATCCCAAACACTCTTCCCTTGTCAATTAATGATACCTTTTGGCCCTATAAAAATGGCCTTATTAGAATTTTCTATGTTAAATACAAATGAAAAACTAGTCTGATTTTAACTAGCTTAGAGATGATTTATGTGATCATATAACTCATAGTTGGAGAGTAATTTAAAATCATCAGTCTTGATCTCCTATTCAATCTAAATAATGTTCAGTAGCCTAGATGAGAGAATTAGATTAGTGTCTCAAAATCTCCAGAGAAACATCCAGTTTTCCAAATCCCTATCCTGATTATCAAGACACCAGGAAGATTAGGGAGTGTTGGAGCCTACCCAGATCCTAATACTAGTAAAGTCTGTTTAGTTTAAAAGTACTTTCTTAGGCCAAGCATGTGGCACACTCCTGTAATCCCATCACTCAAGAGGCTGAGACAGGAGGATTACTGCAAATCTGAGGCCAGCCTGGGGCTACTAGTGAGTTCAAGACCAGACTGAACTACATAGTGAGACTCTCTGTCTCAAAATGCCAAAAAATATTTTAAAATAAAAAAATCTATCATTTTTAAAAGTACTTTCTTACCTATTATCTAATTTTATTTCCCTTAATTCACGTAATTTCCAAAATCATTTTAATAAGATAAAAACACTTGATTTCTAAATAACTTTAATAAGATTTAAAACATATTTAATTTAATAATTATGAATGTTTAAAAATATGATACTTCTATAAAAAATTATCTTTACATCAGGATCTAAATTACCCATAACAGAATTGTGCTACAGTGGGTATATTAATTTTTCAAAGACATGACTGTCTTCCAAAAATTGTTTATTAAATGCTGGGACTGGAAGGATCCAACAAGAAGCCAACTAGCCAGCCTTTCTGATAAACCGTGCAAGCTGCACAACTTCTAGGAAAAGTCAGTGCCTCCTGAGAGCCTACCAGTGCACAAGCTGAGAATCAACACCCACTCCCAGCTTTACCCCTCCCCCACCTGCCCTAAGCAACCCGCTGGTTCAGGGGACAGCCTGAGTTGATAGCAACTAAGGCACATAAAGCAACTAAATGCTTGTATTGTTGGGTTGATTTTGCATGTTTCGGACCAGCGGTCTGAGCATTTCTTGGGAGGATGACAGTATGCAGTATAACAAATATGGGGGATTCCCTTCTACCTTGTCTTTGAAATATTATTCTCAATGTTTTGCTTTGTTCTGATTGTTTTGCTTTACTCAGTATTCTGTTTTGATTGGTTTTATTCTGTTTCATTTTTGGTTTGATTTCACTATACCTGATAGAATGGACAACTATTGTGAAGGTAACAAGATATACTATGGTAGCTATTGTTGTTTTCCTGGTATCCTGCTTTGAAGTTCTGTACCAATTTTGCTGCTGTGTTTTGTTGGATTTTACTATCTTTAAAATAAAATAAATAAATTGTCCATTAAATAAAACTATGAACAACTAGTTCTGAAATATGCAATAAATTAGTGTTAATTCCCTTTTCTTCTTTTTTGAAATTCTGTATCATTTCCATCCCTTTTCTCTGTTTTGCTTTTTAAAATAAAAAATTTTAAATTTTTAAAAACTATATAATAGAAACAAGTTTTTAAAAAGCAACAACAGGGTCTGGAGGAGTGAGTATTTCTGCAAGCAGGGAGGGATCCCAGGTTCCTGAGGCACCTCGGCCTGTGCCCAGCCGCGCCTAGCCATCGGTATGCAGAGGAGGAGCTGGGCGGATCCGGAGTACCTGCAGAAGCCCCTTCCTTTGTCTGGAGGAGTGAATATTTCTGCAAGCAGGGAGGGATCCCAGGTTCTTGAGTCACCTCGGCCTGTGCCCAGCCGCGCCTAGCCATCGGTGTGCAGAGGAGGAGCTGGGCGGACCCCCCAGGCTTCTGGGTGCAGTGAAGTGGAGCAGTGGGTTAGAGGCCACTACAGCCGCCTCCCCATCCCGGCTACACCTGGAGGTCTGCGGAGCTCACCGGGTGGGCGGGCCTACACTATCCCCCCCTCCCCAGCCCAGCCCCGCCTAGCCATCTGCGTGCAGAGGAGGAGCTGGGTGGATCCGGAGTGCCCGCAGAAGGCCCTTCCTTTGTCTGGAGGACTGTGGATATCTCTGCAAGCAGGGAGGGATCACAGGCTCCTGAGGCACTGCGGCCTGTGGTGAGTACCCTAACCCGGCTGCGATTCAAGAGCTGTGGATCTACCAAGGGGCAGGTGGGCGCACAGTGTCCCTGAGGCCCAGCTTGTCTGGAACCGCGGAGTTCTGAACAAGCAGAGGAGGGCCATTGGTTCTGCAGGCCCAATGGCCTGGGGTAGAGTGGTGCCAGAGTCTCAGTAGCTGCAAACATAGAAGGGGATTTTCAACAGATCCTGAGGAGGCTTTCAAATAACACTTGAAACACAGAAATATAGGAAAATGACAAAACGAAAGACCAAATTACAACCTCAAACCTCCAGCCCATCTCAGGAAACCCTAGGAGGAATGTATTTAGAAGAAAATATATCCCATCCTCCTCATATATCAGACACAATAGCTACTGAAGTTGACAAGCAACTCCAGGAAGCTTTAAAGAAATTCAAACTCGAAATAATATCCCAGATAAAAGAAGAAATGATAAAAGAAATGAAAGAGGTTCTAAATATATCTAAAGAAAACACAGATAAAAAATTGGAGGAACTAAACAAAAAGATAGAATCCCTAGATGAGCAATATAAGAAACAAACAGAATACATAATGCAGATGCACAGAGATATACAGGAAATAAAAAAACTCCACTGAAAGTTGTAAAAACCGCCTTAATGAAAGTGAAGATAGAATTTCAGACCTTGAAGAAGGGATTGCAGCTAGTGAACAGGAAAGGAAAGATCTTTTAAAAATAACAAGGAATCAGGAAACAACAATTCAACAACTGCAAGATGATGCAAAGAAAGAATAACATAAGAATGATAGGGATTAATGAAAAAGAAGGAGACAACATAAAGGATATCAAGAGGATATTTAGAGAAGCAATAGCTGAAAACTTCCCAAGCATGAGATCAGAAACTGACATCAGGATCAGTGAAGCATATAGAACTCCAAATAGTCATAACCAAAATAAAACTACACCCAGACATATAATAATCACCATCCCAGAAATCCAACACAAGAATAGATTATTAAAAGCTGTCAGAGAGAAAAGACAGATCACTTGTAAAGGAAAACCTATCAGAATCACAGCAGACTTCTCAGCACAAACAATAAAGTCAAGAAGAGCATGGAGTGAAGTATTCCAGATCCTAAAGCAAAATGATTTCCAACCTAGACTGATATATCCTGCAAAACTATCATTTAAAATAGATGGTGAAATACGATACTTCCATGACAAAGAACAGCTGAAGAACTTCATGAACACCAAACCAACCCTGCAAAAAATATTGAAAGACAATTTAGATACACAAAGGAAAAAACCACTAAGCAAAGCAAATAATTAAACAGAACAGAAAGATAAAGATGCAACAGCAGAGAGATAAGATTCCTACAATTAACCAACATTTCACAGTAATAACCATTAATGTAAATGGTCTCAATGCACCAACCAAAAGAAACAGACTAGCAGAATGGATCAAGAAACAAAATCCAACCATATGCTGTTTACAGGAAACCCATCTAACCCAGAAGGATACTCACAGACTGAAAGTCAAAGGATGGAAAACAATTCTTCATGCAGCAGGAATCCAAAAAAAGGCAGGAGTAGCCATTCTGTTTGCAGACAACGTGAACTTTAAACCAACAATGACCATAAAGGATAAAGAAGGTCACAACATACTCGTAAGGGGAAAACTCCAAGAGGAAGAGATAACTATCTTAAATATATACGCACCAAACTCCAGAGCGCCCAGTTATATAAAACAATTATTAACAGAAATGAAAACTCAAATTATCAGTAACACAATTGTAACAGGAGACCTTAATACGCCATTGACACCAAAGGACAGATCGACCAGACAGAAAATGAGTAAAGAAATAACAGAACTGAATCATACCTGTGAACAAATGGGTTTGATAGACATATACAGAATGTTCCACCCAACAACATCAGAATACACATTCTTCTCAGCAGTACATGGATCATTTTCTAAAATAGACCATATATTAGCTCACAGAACATATTTAAACAAGTGCAAAAGAGCTGAAATCATCCCTTGCATGTTATCGGATCACAGCGCTCTGAAATTAGAAATTAACAATAAAAGATACTGCAAAAATCCCACAAACACATGGAAACTGAATAACACACTCTTG